TGGTAGTGGTAGTGGTAGTGGTAGTGGTAGTGGTAGTGGTAGAGGGATGTTCTTTAACCCACAAAAGAAAAAATGACTATTTAGTTAGGACTAGTAGTGGATAAAATCAAAAGAAAACAATGGGTGTAGAGTATACTACTAACTATTATGCATACTTTTTTTCACGGGTTAAATATAATCACTCTATAATCATTTATTGGGCAACAATACATTATATGAAATGTTAATTAAACAGTACTATTAAAAATCAAAAAAGGTGGCCGATAATTAGAATGCCAGTAGGTATATGTTATAAATGTCAGTTGTGTCGTTGTGTTGTATTTTAATATACTGCTTTTAAAATATTTCATTACAGTTTGCATGACTGTAGTGGATCTGACAGTTGTGGYCTTTTATTTACAGTTAAAAGATCCTAAAGATTAGAGAGTACGACTCGTCGGTACATTCAGGTTTCCGCAGTGACTGATTAATGACAACTAATTATTCATTAATAGATTAAGGTAAGTTAGGGGAAGATGAGCCGAGAGATAAAGAGGGAGGGGCCATGAAAGGGAGGGGAGATAAGAGTTAAAAATACTAGAGATATATTAGAACAACTGTTTATATTCCTTAGCCTAAACGTGTCAAGACAAATCAGGGCACAGCCAGCCAGCCATACAATGATCGATGGAGCGTGCCTATAAATCTTGACTTCTGTTAAGACAGCACTCATCACAAGAATTAAGACAATTTAAATCGTGGCACAATATATTATAGCTGCTTACATGAATACTTTTGGTAGAATGATTAAACTGCATTGAAAACCTAAAGGCGCCACGACATATATTTCTGAACGCAAATATCTCGTAAATGCGTCACATTAGTGCTGTCTTACAATCATCACCATGGCAACATCAGTCTTTCTGTGGATTAACATTGTATTAAATATGTCAAAGCGCTTCCAACTGACAATCGCCAAGCACTCGTTCAGGCAAGAGCCACAGACTTCGATCGGTATTCTTTTCAATAGTGGATTCAATTGCCTATGACATATAGTACTTTACTATAAGCTAGTGAGAGGATTTAAATCTTTGYTTTGGATTGTCCAGGGAAGCCGGCCCGATATCAAATTTATACTGATAAAATTTTCAGGTTAAGGTGAGTGGTACTAAACCTTTGATCTGGACTTCATCTCTTCATACTGTTGATGTTTTCGTACGATTTCAACTAACAATTATTCGATAATTAATACGTATAACTTGATATTTTTGGATCAAGGAGCCTATATAACATGAAATTTCTTTGTCCAATCTCGTGTAATTTCTCTGGAGTCCTCTACATTTTCAGTGTACAAGAGTAGCTAGTTCTATTTGTTTTTAATTAAGCAGGAATAATGCACGTCATTGGTGATATTTGAGTTGTGGCATGCGCACATCTCGAATTTATATTTTATGTCAATATATTTAAGTTACTTATGGCGAAGCATAGAATATTGACAACCTATATTTTATTGTTTTCAAACTCACTTTTCCACATGTTTGTATAGGAAACAAATCAGGTATGGCACTCATTTGTAAACAAGTGCAGAAGATTTTGGTTTTAGACTAAGGTCCATCCATACCCCATAAAACATTTATTTTTTATCATCATCTGATATTAAAATTCCTCTGCATTTCATAGAATTCATAAGAGGGATTTTCGTAGGCAAACATAGTTAAATTATTGCGTAAATAACCGAGATATTGCAAACTACTAAGTATTTTTTCACATTTTTACGCTAATGCGAATGTTGACATTGTACAGACATCTTCATCTATCACACTAGTATTTTTGACTCTTATTTCCGATATTCTGAAGACTTCGAATACCAGTTTATATTAGTTCAATTAGCGGCGGGATTAATTATCTTTCACTACGAGTTTGTTTTATAAAGAATCACGGCTTTCGTTGAGCCTTTAAGCTTATTTTCTGTTCGTTTGAGGATTAAAAGGTCAAAAATCATGGCTTATCGTGTCATTTCAATATGAATCGTGAAGCTCTTAGGATCGATCAGTCATTGGCCAGTGTATGTCAATAAAGGACAACATGTTTCTCTCACAAAATGATCATGCGAGCAGGGTTGTGTGATGAAACACACCAGTAAAAATAAGCAGCAGTAAGGGGGGCCCGCGGAGGGGGTACCGGGGGAGCCGGGTATTACCCCCGCCAAGTACCATTGGTCGGCCGCGGGTATTACACGTAAGGTCGCTATGTGTGTGTTTGAAAAGCTCTCTACGGGTTTTATTAAGTTAAAATGTTTGTTCTATATACGATGCATGAATGTAAAGAGTTTGTTTATGACTTCTGTATAAAGTGCTTGAAACCCAAGTTTGTGCCCCAACCACCAAGGAAGCTTGTTTGTTGTGGTAAAAAAAATGCAAATAGAAGATTATAAGAGTATATTTCTTTCCCTTTTTTCGGCAACCATTTTCGGCTACCTTTTCTACTCCCACGCGGGTTTTCCTGGCAGACACATTTTGCGTAGGAAAAGCATCTTTTTTGTGTCCGCTGGTTTGGTAGCAAGCACCAGAATTCCCCGTGGTTTGGTAGGTAGAGGCGATTTGCCTCTCCTAGTAGCAAGGGGTCGCGACACCGCTGCATGGAGGAACGATCGTAGTAGCCAAAAACCTTCGACACCTATATATAGATGGAAGAGCAAAAGAGTATTTCGGCAACATTGCAAGAGATGGGAATACGTGCGAAGAATAGAGTGCTGGCACATTTGCTGTTGGACAACGCATACGATGGAAATCTGCTGCCCGACATATCCAAGTGCGACTATTTGCGCGGAAACGAAGGTACTACCAGCCTGCAGCCGCTGTCCGGGCTACCACCGTTCGTAGACGATGTGTTTGTATACGGATTTGTCGCAGAGAACGACGTGTATGGACGCATATGCAGAAACGCGAAGACTTTGGTCTCMAAAATATCCACTGCGGCACAGGAAGCCTTTGGTACGTTCCTACATGTCCAAATAGTACACAGCTTCAGGCAAGGAAAAATAGTAGATCGCGTCTCCCACATGGCAGGCAAGTGGTCCAGTTTGCAAGGAGAACCCGCAGCGGTTTTCGTAGCCAAAGTAGACACCTCGGAATTGTCCATAGAAACCGTAGAGGAAAAAATACCCAAGTTTGCTACTTTGCTAGATGCGCACGGATATGGTATCTATTCCGTGGACTACACGCAGGATTTCTCTGGTACTTTGGATAGAAAAGCTTTGGTACRCAGATTGTTGCAGCTGGGCTACGAAATGCAAGGAGAACTGGGTGGACGAAAGGGTACTATTTTGGACAATACACACCAAGTAGGCGGGCATGTTTGTACTTGGATGGAAGACGGCAAACGTACAAAAATATACAACAAAATAGTATCGAACTTYGAAGCCGAGGAAGTGCAGAATCCAGTAGGAGCAAAGTTGGCAGAGTACGTGGATTGTCCGAACGACCACCTGCGTAGGACATTCCTGCACCCAGATGTGCAGAAAAGAGGATGCAGCAGAGTGGAAATATCCATCTACGGCAGGGATTTCTCCAAAGAACACACGAATGCTATCGCGGAGACTATAGAACCTCTAGAAAACATATTCGTAGTACAACCACCCAAAAACATGTGGTTGGCGCTCGCGGAACACTTGGACAGATGTTTGTGTATTTGCTGCGAAGAAACAAAAGAAATCTTTCTAGCTTGGTACTGCAGCGCAGAAACAGGAAGAATAGCTGGCATACGAGTACGAGGCAACGAAAGATGGGAACAATGCGTACTTTGGACCATTGCAGAGTTTGGTTTGCGCAAATGCCCTATCTTTCGCATCGACGTAGATTCTTTGGACCCCGTAGAAATACTACCGCTACGCTGCTACACCAAAGATTCTCCTACGGTGTTGGCGGAGTCCAACAAACCCACCAGAGTGCACAAAGATCCTCCTACGATAGCAGACTTTCTCCCAACCACGGAGCACGTAGAGTGGGTTTGGCACACCAAGAAGGCACAAAAGATAGACATAGAAAAGAGTCTCTTCGGAATACTAGAAGTGCCTACAGACCGCAGAATATCCTTCYTGTCCAAAAGAAAACGACAGCAACGCCTGGAAGACATACRGGACGACTTGGAAGGAGACGAGTGGATAGAAGCTACKAAACGATACCACGCAGAACTCCTGGAGCAAAGGAACTTCGTGCTGCGGCAGAAGGAAGAGGACAGGAAGAAAATAGGGAAAGAGTTGGAAAAATATAGGAAACTATTGGATAGGATTTCCAGGAGAACCAACAATCTGCGTAGATTGTTCTTTGGAGAGGAAAGCCCGTTTGGCCCAGAGACGCCTAGGGCCAAAGTGCATAGGATGGACCAAATACCTGCAGGAGACTACAAGATACTAGGATATGCGATCCCCAGAAACTTGGATGCCAACTGGTTGGCAAGAGGGCACCGCGTAGCATTGCGAAAAGGCAAAGAAACCTGCATTGCGTGGGCCATAGAAGCAATGCTGGACGCATTTGTGGCTGGAAAGTTCGAAGCAAACGACAACATGCGCGTCGCCATACCGGGGGAAGAAATATTGGTGGAGTGGCAGAACAACATAGCCACTGCCTTCGTGCCCGAAGGACCTGGTTTGGATACGTACTACRAGTTGGCTAGGAAMGTAGAATATCCCAAACACCCGGAAAGACTACTAGAAGTGCCTGCGCCACCAAACAAAGAATGTGTACAGGCTCTACATATGCATCCAGGCGAGTACCAATGCTGGAGATACGCCAAAACCACGTACAGAAAAAAAGAAAGGACAATTCTGTTCCTCTCGGAGAAATGTCCAGAGTGCGTTTTGGAGGGCTGCACGGTAGAACATCCCCACAAGTCCTGTCTGGGGGCATTTCCTGGAGGAGCAGAAAATAGACTGGACGCAGCAGCCGCCTTTGTACTGCAAGATAGGCAGAGAAAAGACTACCAAAGCAAAGAAGAAAGACCGACTGGTGCATGTCTCTACTCCATCTCTGGAATCCTAGAATTTCTCTGCGGTTTCGTATCCTCCACTGGATGTCTGTAGTAGACAACTTTGGGTGGTTGCATGCGCGCCCAAACGACGGCAGCAATGCCTACGACTGCAAATAGCACATTGCCAGCTATTTGCCAGTCTATCTTCGTGGATACTTCCTCTACTTCGTCGGACAAATCCTCTGCGTCTATTTTCTCGAACGAATCTTCCTCGTCTTTTTGCTCCATTCTGGCTAGCAATTCCTCCTTTGCGTCTCGGAGTTCTTCTCTAGCTTTTTGGAGATCGTCCAAGACTATAGCAAAGGAATCCTGCACCTCTAGGAAATGTTTCTGCAAGTCTGTAGTTGGTGGCTTTTCGGGAATTGTTACCTCCACGCCGTTCTCTCGCTCTATCCTGCGTATCTTTGGTATTCCTATGCCATGCTTCTTGGCTACCTTCTGCAGCCCCATGCCGTTCTTTCGATCTTCCAACRRTCCTGCAATTTCTTCCTCGRATAGTATTTTGGGTGTTGCCATATATATCTACGAATATGGTTCGGATATGGGTATTCCATGGACAAACACTATGGATCCATAGGGGTATTCCGTGGGTCCATAGGTATATAGATGTATCTCTACATAGCCATAGGCATAGCTAGCTACATGCTAGGAAAACAAAGAACGACACAAATACTTMTGGAGATCTTAGAAGGTCTCTACAGACTTCGCATACCGGGCTACGTAGCAACTTTGGCGCAACTACCGCGACGTAGATAGAGGGTGTCGATCTGGTGGACACCCTTGCTACGAAGGCACTGTTTCGCGGCCCTTGCTATCCAAAATCTGGGAATTGCTACTACGGACATTCCTGGTGCTTGCTACCAAACCAGCGGACACAAAAAAGATGCTTTTCCTACGCAAAATGTGTCTGCCAGGAAAACCCGCGTGGGAGTAGAAAAGGTAGCCGAAAATGGTTGCCGAAAAAAGGGAAAGAAATATACTCTTATAATAAACAAACTCTTTACATTCATGCATCGTATATAGAACAAATATTTTAACTTAATAAAACCCGTAGAGAGCTTTTCAAACACACACATAGCGACCTTACGG